CTCATGAAATTGCACAAAATCGCATTTTTGCGTTGTTTTTTGATTATAAAAAAAGTTTTATCAGACGAATTAAAAATTCATCCATAGAAAATGTAGAAAAAATAATTGCGGTTTTTTTGAGCTATAGAACTCCTAGAAATGTCAAAAACTGAAAGAGGAGATAGATTTTTTCTGTAAAAAACTTTCAAAAATGACAATTTTTGACATTTTTTCTTCCGGAAAACGACCATACATGAATCTATAAACACTAATTAATTTTTTAAGAATCATTTGAATCATCTTGGAACTCCACAAAATCAGATAAAAATTCTGAAATTATGGTTTTAGACCTGCAATTGTGATCGCGCCAAACTTTTTTTCTGTAGGTCAAAAATTAATTTGCAGTTCGGAAATGTTCTGTGGGAGAGCGTGCACTGTCAACAACGAACGCCAATTTTATCTTCAAAAATTTAAAGGGGCGGAGTTTAGTCTACAGTAACCAGCTTTTTTATTTACAAGGTCAACAATCGCCTCATTATTTATTAGGTTGGCGGGAAAGTCTTTGTCACTCTGTTTGTTTAATCACTGTTCTCGTATATGGAGGCTGTGTATGATATCGACTCTAGTGAATAACAAGGTGATAAGAACCTTCCATATAAACAAGTCCCCATTTCCTTCCCTGCTCCTCATCTGTAATTGAAACGATATGTTTGTTCCCACTGCTATTCACATCAGACATGTTTTGATTTACCTCTTCCTATCTCACACCACGATGAAGGATTCGGAAACTTTCTTGAAGAATGTGTACAACACACATGCCCCTCACTACAATACTATTCGCAATTGGTTCCATCGTTTCGAAAAAGATGACTTCTCGCTCGATGAAAAGGATCGCTCTGGGAGACCCCGTGAGTTGGATTTGGACAAGCTGAAGCACGCATTGCAATCGGATCCATTTCAATCTAGCCGTGAACTAGCTGTCACATTCGGAGTTCACCATAGCACAGTCCTTGAAGGTTTGAAGTCTCTTGGAATGAGAAAACTTTTTGGTCGATTCATACCTCATCACCTGACTCAAGCCAACCTTGACCGCCGAGTCGACGATTCGATTACTCTTCTCACTCTCCACGCGGGCGATCGATGGCTGGACCGGCTAATAACCGGAGATGAGAAGTGGGTCTTCTACGATAATCACCACAGGAAATCCCAGTGGGTTGGAGAAGGAGAGAGCCCACAGGATGTCCCCAAACCCGGCCTTCATCCGAAAAAAGTTATGCTCTCTGTGTGGTGGGGAGTGGACGGCCCCATCTACTGGGAACTTCTGCCCGAGGGCAAAACAATAACTGGAGACCTCTACACTACTCAACTACGAAACCTCAAGAAAGCAGTCGACCGTTCGGCCCTGAAAGACAAGAAAGTGTACTATCAACATGATAACGCTCGCCCACATGTTTCGAAACAAGTGAAGCAGGAGCTGATGGGATATGGATGGAATGTTCTCCCTCACCCCCCGTATTCTCCTGATCTTGCTCCTTCCGACTATTGGTTATTTGGCGATATGACACGTGCCTTCGAAGGAAGAAGCTTCAATTCCTGTGGAGCGGTCGAAGCGGCACTCAAACAATACTTTGCCTCACGCCCGGCTGGATTCTACCGCAATGGAATCCATAAATTGAGGGAACGTTGGAGACATGTTGTTGATAATGATGGACAATATAATTAATTATTCGGTTATTTTTTCTTTGAGAAATAAACTATTGAAAAAGTGACAAAGACTTTCCCGCCAACCTAATACTATCTGTTTCATTGACCTACCTTAGTTTTATAAAACCGACATTTTCAGTATGTAGGTTATCTGACTGCTTAGTTAATCTGACAAGTTACAGCAGGACACCATCTCATGTTCTTACACTTTGAACACTATTATCGGTTCCTATCAAATATACTAAATCGTTGTCAACTGATAAAATGCTTATCATAATTTCAAAAGCATTATCAGTTGGCAGGTTTTCGATATCTTTTGTAGGAGCCGAGATAATTGAGCTAAAACTGCAAGTATAGGTTTTTCAAAAAACTAATTTCAGAGACCCTTCCAGAAACTTTAGAATATCAAAGAATAAATATTTAATAAATCTATTTAATAAACCTTTTGATAAATCTACATACGGATCAATAAGAAAACATGAAATTTCAAATGATCTAGAATCTATGTAACGGGGAAAAAACTCACAACCATGTAACGACCAGCTGCAATTTAATCGTTCCCATTGAGTTCAAATTCATTGTCACCAACTGCGGCTGACTGGAGAATAGCTGACACGGATCGAAAGATCGATCATTCAACGATTTTGACTTGAACAGCCGACACTCGGAAACCTTGACATCGATCGATTGATCCGGAATACACGTCAACACCACTTGCTCTTTTTCCCATTTTTGTGTCCGATCTTGCAACGTTTTTCCTTTCGTTTTCCATTTTTGACCTCCATGTCTGATGAGGACTTCGAAGACGTCGCCGGGGGAGATTCTGGCAAAGCCAACGATCGCTTTGATGTCGACGACTACTCGACCCATAAGGTTGGCTAGTTCGGCGTCGATGGGTTTTTGAGAGGCATCTGACTTGGAGCCAATGAACGCGGCGCGGAGCTCACTGAGACTTGAGGATTTCGCTGGAAAAATAAAAAATTGTGTTAGTGTGAAACCTGTATTAGAAGGGCTCCCCTAACTCCTATCTTTGACCCACTTTTTCTAGCTTCCCGTTGAAGATAGAGAAAAATTGTTAACTATCAAAATGTTTATCATTTTATCACAATTATTTTATCAGTTGACAATTTTTGGATAACTCTTACAGGAACCGAGATAAATAGGGTTAAAGCTTGAATTTTTAGCGAAATCCTTAACGAGACTAAAATTCCCGAAAATACAAAACTTCATGGTCCACATGAAACAGAATTTTGAAAAAAAAAAAACGCTCACCTTTCATCTGATTGTACTGTCCGGACCGGTAGCTCTCATAGAGTTTGTTCAGTCGGTGTAGACGAGCGTTGTAGATAATAAGAGTCTCTTCGCAGAGTAGGAGCTCCTGGAATTTTGAAAGTTTTATTTTCAAACAATTACTACGGGAATTACCACACTATACGAAAACGGTTACATAGAGTTAAGATAAAATTGTGAAACTGAATAATTTTACTAAACTTACAGAAATTTATAATTATTTTGCTCGAATTCATTTAATAGATATAAGGCCTGAAAACAACTAACCAGATGCAGCACTTTTTTATAAACAAAATTAGAAATGTCTTTACTATACAAAAATGATTTCATACAGTTAAGATAAGTTTATGAAACTGAATATTTTACTTGTTTTGTGCCCCAGTACAACCCATAAAAATTTCAGAGTATACTAAACAAAAATTGAGCTTTAATTTTGTAGTTGCCAACTTTTTTGTACAAGTTCATCTAAATAAGATATACCGCCTGGAACCAACTAACAAGAAGTAGCAATGTGTTCAGAGTCACGACACTTTGAAACGGTTTATCTCACACAAGACTTTTACCAAAAAATTGTCAATTATCAATAGGAGGTTTACTTTTGTTTAGTATACTCTGAAATTTTCAAGCAAAACGAAAGATTCTGGAAATTTTTTTAGTAAGCGGAAGTTCAAGAAAAAATCAACCATTTTTTATGTTTCATAGGTTTAAAATAATTTAGTGAAACTGAAAAGTTGTTTTCTTTTGCATCCAAAATAGAAATAACTTTGTCCATTTCCAGTAGAAATTAGTCACCTTTGGAGTCCTACAAAAGTGGTCCAAGATTTTTCGATTGTTCTGAGCATTTCAAGATATACTAAACAAAGATGGAGCTTTAATTTCGTAATTAACAACTTTTTTTGTAACAATTCATTTAAATGAAAAATACCGCTTCTCCCAGGAATACCCGTAAGTTCAGTGTCTTGACACTTTCAAACGGTTTATCTCATTTGGATGAATCTGTACAAAAAAGTTGTCAATTACAAAAATGAAGCTCTATCTCTGTTTAGTACAATCTGAAATTTTCAAGTAAATTCAAAAATTCTGGAACATTTTTTTTAGAACTTCAAAGTTGACTTTTCAATTAAAAATGCGACGAAATGTTAGGTATTACTGTAGATCACGGACTATGAATGATTTATATTCAAAAAGGCCAAGCACAATTACACTAAATCAATTAAAATCAAACTTTGTCTCTTTATCAAACAGGAAAAATGTTTTTGTGTAACTTCTAGAAAAGCTAATCAATCCTGGACCATTAATAGAGGACACCAATGTTGAAAAAAGCTGCTATATTTAGTAAGAATTCAAAATTTACAACTTTGAAAGTTTAAATTGCCCACAAATCAAAAAGAACGGTTCCCGGTAGTGCGATTCACCATCCGGACACTCAGAGAGCACACAATACTAAGAGAGCACCCGAGAAAAAAGAGCTCTCCCATGAGGTGTCCATTCGTAAACCGTGCGGTGCGCAGGAAGAATCGGAAGGAGAAAAGAGAAATGAATTAACGAACTTAACAAAGTCCGTCAATTCGGAAAACCTGAGAGACTAGTGAGAGAGTGTGGGGAATGGAGAGAGTGGCGAGAGAAAGAAAGACAAACTTGACCGGAATGCATGTAAATTTCGAGAGAGAGATGCGTCTTTTCTCAAATTTTTGGGTTTGTTTTTGGGAGACAGAGAGTGGGAAATGGAACACATTAGGTTCGGCACTTCTATTAGAGGGACCCTTCTAATACAGATTTCACAATAATTGGGAAATGGAAAAAGTCTTACATTGCCGTTTTACATCGCATACGCACTGGAACATTTTTGTTTGAATGCGAACAAAATATGAAAATTAAGGAACAGTGAAATTTTGGAGACAATTTTCGGAATTCTTTTCGTTTCAAATTTATCAAACGAAATTTTCAAAAAAATGCAAGCAATATGGAAGTTAAGAAACAGTGAAATTTTAATGTAATAATTCAAAAATAGGATTTCTGAAATTCGAAAAAAAAGTTTGTTCCGATATTTTTTGGAGGAAATCTGGGAATTTAACCCTATCCAAATTTACTTCGATCTTTTAGTCCTTTTCTCATTTTCACCCCCTTCCCCTCGTCCTTCTTTATAAGTGCATGAACAAACATCTCTCAATCTGACCCCTCCTCATGGCTACTCAAATGATCAAGAAGCAACATTTTCAGGAACGCTAGGTTCAAGCGGTATATCTCATTTGAATGAATTTTTGAACAAAAGTTGTCAACTAAAGAAATGAAGCTCTATTTTTGTTTAGTGTACTCTGAGATTTTTAGACTAATTGAAAAATTCTGGACCACTTTTTTAGGACTCCAAAGTACACATGTTCAATTGAAAATGAGGCAAAACTAATGAGTTTCTGGCTACTACTGTAGTTTTAGGAAAGATTGGCATGAGTACTGTACCAGCCATTAAAATGTTTCAAATACTAACATTGGAATAATCAGAAAAATTACATGTAGAGTAAAAATCACTTTACACCTTTATAAAACAGGAAAATAATTTTAAAAAAATGAAAAAAAAAAGGAATTTTCATCTAAATGAGCTAAACAAGCAATAAAAAAATCAACAACTATGTTCAAAATGAAAATAAGACAGTTAATGGCGGCATTCAGAAAACTGACTTCCTACTGTTTTATCAACTTTATGAAACTTCCAAAATTTTAATTTTTGCCAATCTCAACGTAGTCCGTTATGGGGTTATGCACGTTATTAAAATGGAATAAAATTGGTAAATAAATAAACAAAAATACTATGCACAAACGCAAAAAAAAAGATTCTACAGATTTTTGAGCTTTCTAAAAATATTGCCACAAAATTATGGATCTTATGATTGTATTAGTCGCAAACCAATGAAACGGAATATATACAAATGTTTTGAAACAGTAAAGAAACATTTTGTGATTTAAACTTATCACAAAATAACAACTTTATAAAGAAAAATAATGAGTATGTCCGAAGTAATTTTTTTTGGATTTCGAAAAATTCAAATTCTAGCTCTAACCTTACAGCACAAGTCTAGGAGTTGAACTCGGCCAAGCTACACGGTCACAACTGGGGGTGTGTAAGGGGGGACAGTAGCCACAAAATGTGTAAATACATCAAAGTGCCCGATTTCGCTCCAAAAAAACCCTTCTAAAATGCCTTTTTATCTTTTACCTTTCAAAGTACATTGGGAGAACTAATTTGGGAAAGTTTTTAAAGACAATATGACAAAAATGAAACAGTAATTTTAAAAATAAAACCGAAATGCCATCTTTTCGCTCAAAAAATCTCTTAATGAAATAATTTCAAGCTTAAAAAGTAAGAAAAAATACCACCGCTTCGTAAGATTCATGAATTTTTAGAGTATTCAAAAATAATAATTCGTTTTTGATTACCAATGTTCCTTTTAAATAGGTATTCTCAGCTTCTTTTTTTTATTCGTAATTCGATCTTCAGAATTTTTTCTCAAACCTTAACAGCTAAAGAAAGGACTTCAGTCAAAAGGTTTATGAATCTTATGAATCAGTGATTTTCCTTATTTTTGATGTCCGTAGCCAATCCATAACCGCGTAGCTCAGTCGGTTACGGTAGTTTCAAACTGAAGTATGCATTCTGAAGTGATGGTGTACATTGATGGGTCTTCAGAATTTTTTCTCAAACCTTAACAGCTAAAGAAAGGAATTCCATTTCTCCATGCTTCCAGAAAGTTCTAAAAACAGCCCTAGACTTTAAAAATGTCTGCAATGGAATCCGAAACATCACCGAAAAAAATTGTGATATATATCAAGCTAGTGAAACAGCGAAAATGTAAAATTCAAATTTCGTATTTACGGAACTGGAGAATTTTCAGTACACGCTCTCCCACAGAACATTTCCGAACTGCAAATTAATTTTTGATCTACAGAAAAAAATTTGGCGCGATCACAATTGCAGATCTAAAACCATAATTTCAGAATTTTTTATCTGATTTTGTGGAGTTCCAAGATGATTCAAATGATTCTTAAAAAATTAATTAGTGGTTATAGATTCATGTATGGTCCTTTTCCGAAAGAAAAAATGTTAATAATGGTCATTTTTGAAAGTTTTTTACAGAAATCTATCTCCTCTTTCAGTTTTTGACATTTTTAGAAGTTCTATAGCTCAAAAAAACCGCAATTATTTTCTCTACATTTTCTATGGATGAATTTTTAATTCGTCTGATAAAACTTTTTTTATAATTCAAAAACCTCATGAAATTGCACAAAATAGCATTTTTGAGTTGTTTTTTGATTATAAAAAAAGTTTTATCAGACAAATTGAAAATTCATCCATAGAAAATGTAGAGAAAATAATTGCGGTTTTTTTGAGCTATAGAACTTCTAAAAATGTCAAAAACTGAAAGAGGAGATAGATTTCTGTAAAAAACTTTCAAAAATGACAATTTTTGACATTTTTTTCTACCGGAAAAGGAACCGACCATACATGAATCTATAACCACTAATTAATTTTTTAAGAATCATTTGAATCATCTTGGAACTCCACAAAATCAGATAAAAATTCTGAAATTATGGTTTTAGACCTGCAATTGTGATCGTGCCAAACTTTTTTTCTGTAGATCAAAAATCAATTTGCAGTTCGGAAATGTTCTGTGGAAGAGCGTGCAGTAGGAAAGTAGTCAATATTGGAGTTCTGAAAAATTGGGACTCTAAAATTTTCCGATTTGTTTCAAAATTTCAGAGTTTACTAAACAAAATTAGAGCTTCAATTTGGTAATTGATAATTTTTTGTACAAATTGTGTCAAGTGGGATTAATGCCGCGTTCAAAGTAGACTCCAGGAACTGGAAATTGCGTCCAAAGCTGTCAATTTTTCCAGGTTTTCCAGGAGCACGAAACTTCGATTTTCCGCGTTGTAGCTGTGTTAATTTTTCGAAGTCCGCTGTAAATTAACAAGAAACTTTCTTTTTTTGGACCTCGAATTGATGTCGAAGAAAAAAACACAG